TGGTGACACATGAGACAGTACTACTCAGGCCTCATTATTAATTAGAATTACCTGGGGAGCGGGGTGTCTGGGTGGCTTAGTCAGTTAAGCGTCCGACTTTCACTTAGGTCATGATCTTGCGGTTCGTGGGTTCGAGCCCCGTGTCGGGCTCTGTGCTGACTGCCAGCTCAGAGCCTGGAGCCTATTTCAGAGTCTGTATCTCCCTCTCTCTCTGACCCTCCCCTGCTCACGCTGTCTCTCTCTCTCCTAGAAATAAATAAAAATATTAAAAAAAAAAAAAAGAATTACCTGGGGAGCTTCTAAAAAATACAAATGGAGGGCCTACCCTAGACCAACTAAGAATCTCTCAGATGGAGCCTAGAGGACATAGGCTTTTTTGTTGTTAAGCTCCCGAGGTGTTTTTAATGGGCAACTAGACTCGAGAATCACTCTAATACATGATGTCGCCTTGTAAAGACATTTGCCAAAAATTATATAAAATAGTTTATAGCATTTTTCTCTCCCAACATTCATTAACATTTTCTGACCAACAATACATATCTGATGAATGCAGAAAAATAAAATGGAAAATGCAGAAAAATATAATGGAAAACATTAACATCATTTATGGTACAATCGGCCACAGATAATTTATTGTTATTATTTACATTACTGCATTTTCATTCTATTTTTCTGTGCGCTTATACGTGGACATAACAATTGTGTCAATTGTAGAAAATTGGAATACTACTATTTATACCGTTTCATTTTCTGACTTTTCTCTTTATCATTAAATGCCCTTTGAGAATGGTATCTGAAAGGCTGTTGAGTATTCTTACAGATTTACCATCACAGTATTTTGTTACGTATCAGTATTTTGTTAGACCTCAAGGTTTCACTTTCAGAGGAATTTTTTTTTTATAATTTGTTTTTAATGTTTATTTTTCAGGGAGAGTGGGGGGGGCAGAGAGAGAGGGAGACAGAGAATTGGAAGCAAGCTCCCCATTGTCAGGGCAAAGCCCGACGTGGGGCTCAAACTCATTGTGATATCATGACCTCAGCTGAAGTCAAACGCTCAACCTACTGAGCTACCCAGGTATCCCTCAGAGGAATTTTTAATAATTCTACAAGAAATATTCTTTAAAACAAATTTTTTTTAATGTTTTATTTTTGAGAGAGAGCGAGAGAGCATGAGCAGGGAAGGGTCAGAGAGAGGGGGAGACAGAAACCGAAGACAGGCTCCAGGCTCTGAGCTGTCAGCACAGAGCCTGAGGCAGGGCTCGAACCCACAAACCTGAGATTAAGACCTGAGCGTAAGTCGGATGCTTAGCCACCTGGGTGCCCCAGCCGAGAATACTCTTTCTTTCCCTCTCCAAACAGCTAGCTTTTCCAGTAAAAGTCTACTAGCTTGAGGGCCTTCTCCGACCACAGGTCATAGTCATTCATATATCTTCATTTCAACTGATCATGTGCACTGTGGGTGCCACGTGGGTGGAGTTTAACTGCCATTTAAAATGTCTTCAAATTGATTACACTTAGATCTGGCATTAAATCAGAATGTTATTATGTAAGCAAACAGCAAAGAAACAGAGTAGTCAAGTTCCTGGAGGGAAAACACTCTCCATTTTGCATAGGAATAGAGACTCTAACAGAACTAAGAAAGGAAAATCCAAATGAATAAAACTATTATGTTTTGATATTAAAATATATGCAAAAGAATAGTTGATCATACATAAAGCAAGAGGGGTCCAGTATCAAAATTTCCAAGTGGGAAAACATAAAAAAAATGAAAAAGCAACCTACTGAATGGGAGAAAATACTTGCAAATCATGTAACAGATAAGAGACTAATCTTAACTCAATAGCAAAAACCAATCCAATTTAAAAATTGAGCAGAAAATCTGAATAGACATATTTCCAAAGAAGACATACAGATGGCCAACAGGCATATGAAAAGATGCTCAACATCATTAACCATCAGGGAAATGCAAATCAAAGCCACAATGAGATATCACCTCATACCTATTATCAAAAAGACAAGAAATAACAAGTACTGGCAAGGAGATGAATAAAAGGAACCCTTGTACACTGTTGGAGGGAATGTAAATTGGTGCGGCCACACTGGAAAATAGTATGGAGGTTCCTCAAAATGTTAAAAATAGAATTACCAGGGGCACCTGGGTGGATTAGTCAGGTAAGTGTCTGACTTCGGCACACGTCATGATCTCATGGCTCGTGGGTTCCAGCTCTGCTAACAACTCAGAGCCTGAAGCCTGCTTCAGATTCTGTGTCTCCCTCTTTCTCTGCCTCTCCCCTGCTCGCACTATGTCTCTTTGTCTCTCTCAAAATATAAACATTAAAAATAAATAAATAAGTAAAAAAAAATAGAACTACCATAAAATCCAGCAATTCCACTTCTGGATATTAATCCAAAGAAAATGAAAACATTAACTTGAAAAGATACATATCTGCATGTTCACTGCAGCATGATTTACAGTAGCCAAGGTAAGTATTCATTGATGAATTAATATAGAAATTATGATATATGTATATTTACATGATGGAATATTATTCACCCATAGAAAAGAATGGAATCTTGCCATTTGCAATGATATGGTTGGATCTTGAGGGAATTACGCTATGTGAATAAGTCAGACAGAGAAAGACAAATACCATATGATCTCTACATGGAACCTAAAATAAAAACAAAACCCAGCTCACAAATAGAGAACAGATTGGTGGTTTGCCAGAGGTGGGGGGTAGGGGTGGGAGAAATGGGTGAACTGTTTTCTTGTTTGTTTTAGTTTAAATATATTGACTTTAAAAACTTTAAGAGGTGCTCGAGTGGCTCAGTTGGTTATGCATCTGACTTTGGCTCAGGTCATGATCTTGTGATTCTTGAATTTAAGCCCCACATCTGGCTCTCTGCTATCAGCGCAGAGCCTGCTTGGCATCTTCTGGCCCCCTCCCTCTCTCTGCCCCTCCCCCATGCATGAGCACTTTTGTGTGCGCTCTCAAAAATAAACATTAAAAAAATATATATTAAAAACTTAAAAATTTTTAAACTTACAAACGGGTGTCAAAGACTTGAGATTCGAGAGAATAGCACTCTTGAGAATGCTGCATCATCAACACCTGTGATAACAGTATGCTAGCATATGGAAAAAACAGCAATATCAGCAACTGTGAGAACCTAAATGTGGAGAAATATTAAGAATGACTTAATCAATTTTTGTTTATATGTATTTGTATGTATGCACAAGAGTAATATGCAGTACAAATAGTTTAGATAAACTAAAATTTCTTTCAGTAATTGCAAAATACAAATTCTAAATGATAAACCATTGTGTGACCATATAACAACATGTTATATTTTTTCTTGTGCTACACAAAATAATGGTGCATTATACACTTAAATGTATCTTACTTTCAGTGAAATGCATTCATCCAATCGAACTGCCAGAGGGAGAGAATAGAGTTGGGAAAAGCAATATGTGAAGCCATAATAGCTGAGAATATTCTAGATTTGATGAAATACTATCTTCTGATAGTATTCTGATTCAGGAACACAAAATTCCCTGGACAGCATAAATAAAACTAAATCCACATCAAGATATGTAATAGAAAAACTAATTCTACAGATCAAGATAGCAAACACAACTAAAGAGAAATGCTATAAGCAAAGCAAAAGAAAAATGGGGGTGAATATATGTAATGGGGAAATGATTGATATATAAAGTGGTCCTGTAATCACTAGGAAAAAGAGCTTTTTAAAAAATTTTTATTTTTCGGAGAGAGAGGGAGAGAACACAAGCAGGGGAGGGGCAGGGAGACAGAGGGAAGATGCAGAATCTCCAACAGCTCCAGCTGAGCAGTCAGCACAGAGCTCCAGGTGGGGCTCAAACCTACAAGCCCCGCGACATCAGAACCTGAGCCAACCTCAGATGTTTAACTGACTGAGCCACCCAGGGGCCCCAGGAAAAAGAGTTTAATAGAAAAGATGTAAACATACAATAGTCAAGAAATATATGAAAGATGTTCAACCTGTAGCAAAGTTTTAATGTGCAAATTGGAATTTTCACAAAAATGAGCATAGACTTTAAGACAAGATCGCCAATATCCACAGTTAGGAAAATATGTGGAAATGAGCACGCTCACAGTCTTTGGTTGGAAGGTAAACTGCAGTCTTTCAGTGGTCAGTTTAGTAACATCAAAACTTTAGTGTGTATGCTACTTCAAGGAGTCAATCTCATAAAAATCAGCTAAGATGCTCAAAGGTGTTTGTAATTACAAGAAATTGGTAAATTAGGTTACATGCACAGGATATTATGCCATCTTTTTAAGAGATGCTGATATAAAGAAGTTCATGGCATAAAATTAAATATATCTTCGTAAGTACACTGCAGAAGGGTTTCCTGTATGAACCCATTTTTGTTTTTTAAAAAATGTGTATTTGTATAAAGAAAAAAAGCTTAGAAAAGTTGGATACAGTAAAGAACACGAGCTTGGTGTACGTGTGTGCGGGGCGAGGGGAGCGAGATAATTTTGTGATCATAACTGTATACCTCTTTACTGTTTGACTTTGAGGCCCATCACTTCCATAATAGCAAAAACAAAATGTACACTTAAAACAACTATATTCCTCAGGCTGCAAGCCGCCCTTTCCTCCTGGTAGGCCGGACTTGCGTTTTGCTTTCACTTTCATAGCTAAACTCTTTCTGTTCCTGAAGCAAGGAGGTTGAGGAGGCAGAATACAACTGTAAAAAGCACCCCGACTTGGGCCTGGCCTTCACAGAGGCCTAGACTAATCATACGGCGGGATTTCCAGAACAGGGGGGGAAAAAACCGCAAGCAGGTCTAGAGGAGGTGGAGGCGCCGCGCTCCTGCCCCGCCCCAGCCCCAATCCTCCAATGGGTGTTCGGTGAGGGCGGGCTACCTGCAGGCTTGGGGCATTATTGGCCCTGGAGCCACTCCGCCCAGGCAGTGGGCGGGGCAGCGTGGTGACGTCTCCACAAGGGGCGCAGAGGTGGAGAGCGCGCGCTCGCAGACGCGGCGGTATTAAACGGTTGCAGGCGCAGCGGACTGGTAGTTATCTTCCTGGGTCTCGGGCTTTCGCTTCTGCCTTTGCCGGCTCGCTCTTACCCTGTGACGCCCAAGCAGGCTACAACTCCCTCCTTAGCTTCGCCTGTAGCCGCGTCGTTGCGACTCTGCCACCATGTTCGAGGCGCGCCTGGTCCAGGGCTCTATCCTGAAGAAGGTGCTGGAGGCGCTTAAGGATCTTATCAACGAGGCCTGCTGGGACATAAGCTCGAGCGGCGTAAACCTGCAGAGCATGGACTCCTCCCATGTCTCCCTGGTCCAGCTCACCCTGCGTTCCGAGGGCTTCGACACATACCGCTGCGACCGCAACTTGGCCATGGGTGTAAACCTCACCAGGTGAGCCCGGGGGTGGCGGAGAGCCGGGCTCCCCTGCACCCCCACCTCCTGCTGTTGGCGGGAGCGCCTGCGAGTTGGGCCCTCATTGGCTCGCATGGACCACCTGCGCCATCTCATTGGCTTGCGACGCCGGGGGGCGGGATCTAGCAGAGCGCGCGGTTTGGAAAGCCCGCGCTGGCAGCAGCGCGAACCGGCTGTTTCCGCGCCAAAGTCACAAAGCGGGTGGTGGCGGGAAAATGACGGCTCCTCTGCGATGGCAGGAAGAGACTTGCACAGCTCTTTGGCCACTTAGTGCTGGCGGCCTTGGATGAGAAACCTATGGCCCGGTTGCCTTATAAAGTGCCTTAGTTATGTCGCTCTACCTCGGGACAGTCGGTTGGTACTGGTCTTTTATTACAAAGTTGCAGCGACTACCCTAAGTTTCTGAACTTAACATTTCTCCAGGGCAGGGGCTTTCAATTTTTTGATCACTACCTGTCTAGTACCTAAGCATTTTAAGGAAGGCTTATGAAAAATACCCGGACTACCTACAGTGTGTTTTAATGGGTATCCCAGATTTTTAATGATCGTCACGACCCAATAATTGCTTCACCTACCAAAGGAATTTGCAGTTCATAAAGTACTGCTCTTTTGTTTATATCCGGAATTGAAATTGCTAGCGATGGGGTGTGTGTTTAAGTGTAAATACTGCCAAACTGCATCCCAAAATGGCTGGACGGCCTAATGGGTATAAACGGTAACTCCTTGTCTTAATAGCGTCAGAAATCTTAACGATCTTGAGAACGTGATGTCAATTTTAAATCGTGTGCCTTCTGTGCTCTAGCATGTCCAAAATACTAAAATGTGCCGGCAATGAAGACATCATTACACTAAGGGCTGAAGATAATGCGGACACCCTGGCACTTGTATTTGAAGCTCCAAGTAAGTCCTACTCATCTACTAAGTTATATTAGAGGAAATTTAAATGTGTGGTAAGCATTTCTCACAAGTTGTGAGAAATTCAAGATAATGTTTGTAAAAGTTAACGTCATTGCTATAAACTTATATGCTTTTCTTCAATCTGCTTTCCTTTGTAGACCAAGAAAAGGTTTCAGACTATGAAATGAAGTTAATGGATTTAGATGTAGAACAACTTGGAATTCCAGTGAGTATGGTTTTCTCAGTGTACTGCACACAAGTCATGATAGTTGTATATATTAGTAATACAATTTAAAGCCCAATTCCCAACAATTGTATGTCTGCTGATAAATGTTCCAAAGTGGGATTTTAGTATTTAGACATTTGTAATTTCATTAAACTACAGTACTCAAATGGATCATTGGTTGAATTCATTCTTGCCAAATGAATATTTGCATTAGCCTTCATGATTTTTTTTTCCTTTAAGTTTATTTGAGAGAAAGAGAAAGCACTAGGGGGTGGGGGGAGAGAGAGAGAGAGAGAAAATCCCATGTAAGCTCTGCACTGTCAGCACAGAACCTGATGCAGAGCTTGAACCTCTGAACTGGGAGATCATGACCTAAACCAAAGTTGGACACTTAACCAACTGCGTCCCCAGACACCCATCCCCCCCTTTTTTAAAGATTTAAAAAAAAAATTTTTTTTTTTTTTTTTGAGAGAAAGCGGGGGGAGGGGCAGAGAGGGGTGGGGATAGAGGATCCGAAGCGGGTTCTGTGCTGAGTGGCTGACATCGGTGAACCTGATGTGGGGCTCAAGCTCCGGAATCACAAGATCATGACCTGGGCTGAAGTCAGATGGTTAACCAAGTGAGCCACCTAGGTGCTCCTGTACCCTCTAAGAGTATACTTTAAGGCTATGTTAACAGAAATTCATTAAGGTTAAGGTTTATCAACATCAAAGGAGAGAAGAGATGTTAGGATGTATAGTTTTCTTGTGATTATTCTTATGACATATTTGTTTTATAGCTGCATTTTTTTTTGAGTGTTAGAGTGCGTTAAATCACACAGTAGTATTTCAAAGTAAACAGGAATTCTTAAATTCTGAATTCTTCTCTACATGTTGAGTCATCAGAAAGTGAGGATGCCAAATCTTTAGTTTCTAGCATTTGACCTTTAATTTTTTTTTTTTTTTTTTTTAATAGGAACAAGAGTATAGCTGTGTAGTAAAGATGCCTTCTGGTGAATTTGCACGTATATGCCGAGATCTCAGTCATATTGGAGATGCTGTTGTTATTTCCTGTGCAAAAGATGGAGTGAAGTTTTCTGCGAGTGGAGAACTAGGAAATGGAAATATTAAGTTGTCACAAACAAGTAATGTCGATAAAGAGGAGGAAGCTGTAAGTTTTTAAATAAACAAAATACTTTGAAGAGAATAATAACCCTGCTTAACATTAGTCTGTTGGGACTGCTATAGCAAATACATAGACAATGGCATATAAACAGCTGAAATTTATTTCTCACAGTCTTGGAGGCTGGGAAGCTGGTAGATTCAGTGTCTGGTGAGGACCTGCTTCTTGGTTCGCAGACCGTGGGCTCCTCACCCGGTAGAAGGGTCAGAGGAGTGCTCTGGGGCCTTTTTTATAAGGGTATTACCACAGAGTACCTCCCAAAGGCCCCACCTCCAAGTACCAACAAATTGGGCATTTGGCTTTAACATGAATGATTGTGGTGGGGTGGGGGGGCACACATTCAGTCTATAGCAAAGTAATTGTAAATCAACAGGAGGATCTACTTGAAGGAAAAAATCTACCTTTAAGGAGTTCTTATGTGATCTTTGTATTAACTTTCTGCATGGTAGGCCCAATACGGGGCCTAGACAACACCCCCCCCCCCACCCCCACATTTAGCAAGAAAATAAAGAACACTCTAATTTCTAAATATCCTTAAATTAAGACTTTCCTATAAATCAGGTGCTTTTTCTTTTTTAGATCCTTAGAGTATTTATAAACTAATATTTTATAATTGTGCTTTAAAAAACTTGCTAGCCTTTGAACCAAAACCTCAGTTCACTCTGTAAATGAAAAAAACCATCGAAGGTTCTAGAAACCTCATAGGATTATTAGGATTAAATATGGTAACATATTCAAAGTGCTTAACACAAGTGTCTTACGTTGTAAGTCTATAGTAAATATTAGGTATTATTTTCTGGTCCCTTGCATGAGTAGTCAACTCTCAGTTTAAATGAAGATAAAACTCAAGTTGAAATGAAGACTTAAAACTATTAGTAACAAAAGTCCAGGGGCTAATTCTGAATTATCAGTCTCCTAAATTACATTGTAACTCCCCTGCCCATCTGGATTATGTTTGTTTTAATCTCAAACATTAGTTTTCTCAATATTTTTATATCTAAAGTGTAAACATCTTATGACATTCTTTGATATTAAAGAATTTTTCAGTGTTTCCTGTTCCCTTGGTTATTTCAGGTTTTTTTTTAATATTTATTTATTTTGAGGGGCGCCTGCGTGGCTCAGTTGGTTAAGCATCTGACTTCAGCTCAGGTCATGATCTCATAGTTTGTGAGTTCAAGCCCTGCCTCAGGCTCTGTACTGACAACTCAGAGCCTGGAGCCTGCTTCAGATTCTGTGTCTGCCTCTACCCTGCTCACACATACTCTCTTTCTCTGTCTCCCTCTCAAAGATTAAAAAAAAAAATGTATATTTATTTTGAGAGAGTACCCATGTGCCAGGGAGTGTATGGGCCGGGAAAGGGCAGAGAGGGTGGGTGGGGAAGAATCCCAAGGATCCATGTTCAGTACATTGGCTGTCTCTCTTGAACTGTGAGATCATGACCTGAGCTGAAATCCAGAGTTGGCCATGTAACCAATTGAGCCCCCCAGGCACCCCTAGAAGTTTGTTTGAATCAAGATTTTGATAAGCTCTACACATTATAGTTTGTTGATGGGCCTTCAAATTTCTCTTAATCCATTGGTTCTCCAGTCTCTGCACCCTCCATTATAATTTGTTGAAGCAAGTCCTTTGTCACTGGGTTTTCCCAAAGTCTGGATTTTGCCCACTGTATCCCTTATGTCAAGGGATGTCAATTAATATGCTCCTCTCACTTGTATTTTCTATAAACTGGTAGTTACAGCTCTTGAGGCTTGATGATATTCAGTGTTAGCAGTAAGCCTCTCTCTAGTAGGTATGTGGTGTCTAGAAAACATTTTTTTTTTTATAGCAACCGTAATAGTTTAGAATCTGTCATTAGGGTTTTAATGTATTAATACATTTCATTCTTCATTTATTAGAAATATTCCCATAAAGAGCAACTTTCTCTAAACATGTAATTGGGTTACCTGAGGTACAGTTCATATGGGAAAGGCAGACTAAATACTTGATTCTTTATTTACCAGTCCTCAAAATCCGTTTCCTCCCATTCTCCAAAGTAACCAATAAAGGCTTTTGGTTTGTTTTGAAATGTATATTCTAAATGGGCATTGCAATTTTCTTGATGTTTTTCAAAATGATTTTTTGTTTTTCTTAGGTTACCATAGAGATGAATGAGCCAGTTCAGCTAACTTTTGCACTGAGATACCTGAACTTCTTTACAAAAGCCACTCCACTCTCTCCTACAGTGACACTCAGTATGTCTGCAGATGTACCCCTTGGTAAGATTTTAAGTTTTTTGACTCTTGTTTTGTAGGTAGTATATGTGGTACTTCCCAATAATTAACTATGTTCCTGTCTTCTTTCAGTTGTAGAGTATAAAATTGCAGATATGGGACACTTAAAGTACTATTTGGCTCCCAAGATTGAGGATGAAGAAGCATCTTAGGCATTCTTAAAATCCAAGAAAATAAAATTAAACTCTTTTGAGAACTGCTTCTGAGATGCCAGCATGTACTTAAGTCTCTTCTGTCACCAACTTTGTACCTCTCAGTACATATGTAGATATTTTATGTAAATAACCTATTTTTTCCTCCATTCTTTACAATTTGTTTAAAGAATAAAGTCCAAAGTCAAATCTGGTCTTGTTAACCTAGAAATCTCTCTGCCTTAACCTAGAAGTACTCGTTTTCATAACAAAAGGGTTTTGACTATATAAATGCAGTTTTAATTTTTTTCAATTTAAATAAAAGTTATTTGGATTTGAAACATCACAAGACAGTGCCTTCATTTGGACCATGACTGTTGAAAAGTATCCTAGGGAATTCAGTTCAAGCTACCGTTTTATATAAATGTGTTTAGTTTTTCAGTCTAGAGGAGCCTGATAATACAGTAGATAATAGCAATAAAAGTATTCCAAATACAGTGGGTGACAAGATATTTTGGGGGGGATTCGTTTGCCAAAATTATTTTGGTGTTCTTCTATCTTTAATGCAAGAAATGAACAGAAGTGTAGACCAAATCCTGTATGTTTAGTTTCTTTGCCAATTTTGTCAGCAAAACTAACACTTATTAAGGAAGCTTTATGAACCCAAAACTATGGGCTTTAGATGACTTGGCAGTGCTATAGGGCAGTTTCTTTAGCCTAGGGAGCCTTTTGAATCTTGAAAGAGAAGATCTGTGTTAGGGCGAGTGTGTTTGTGCAAAAATAATTTTTCTAGTATTAAGTAGCCCTTTTGGGGACTTCATCCCGCCAGTGTGAAACACTGTTTAAGTGTTCCTACTGATAGTGCCACAAGGCCACAAACAGCATGCTACTTACTGAGAATTGCTTCATTAAAGTGCTTTCCCCCTCCCCCTGGTGTATTTTGGTCTTAGTGGTTTAAATGACTGGTTTCTTTGGTGTACTACCTGGAAGAACTCCCTAACCAGTAGGTTACTGTTCATTACCTTCCATGTGCCTGGGGGGTGGGGAAGGAGATGGAAAAGGGGCTTGATGGAAGTTCAGGGAGTGGTGTCACTTCTCTAGAAGGTGGTGATGGTTCCAAGACTATGCACTTGTCAAACTCTTCCAATTGTACTTTATTGTATGTAAGTTATACTTTAATAAATCTGACATTTAAAAAGCTTCGTGTGCTGCAAAATATCCCTTGTCGGCGGGCCTCTTACCCAGGCAAGACCTGAACGGCGAGGAGAAGGAGACTGAAGCACAAGAATGTGGGGGCACTAGAGTAGTGTTGGGGTACGGACTAAGTCCTAGTCCGCGGCGCAAGGCCTGCAGCCCTGGGCAGTGGCTAGGAGACCCAGGCAGTTCCAGGCAGCCGGAGCCTCACTGGCTCGGCTTCAGTCTCCAGGGGGCGCCGCCACAAATGTCCGCGGGATCACGGAAAGAAACACGTAGCCCGCTTCCCGGGGTCTGACTGTGACCCACGCGGCCGGTCCCCGTTGGCACCCGCACAACCCCGCGGAGGTGGCCGGCGGCAAGCCCAGGCCGCAACAACCGTCGCAACCCCGAGCCGGAGAGTCTCTCGTGCGGGACGCTACCACCAGCGTAGGGTTAAAAGTCTGGCGTTCCCGAGCCTGGGGCGAGAAGGCGTCGCTCTCGGTGACGCCACTTCCGGCGCGCCGCCCCTCGCCGCGCCACTTCCGCCGCCGAGCTGGGCGGGTGGCCGTTGGGTGAGGCGTGCCATGAGCCCTTGGGCGCCTCCGCCACCAACCGTGAGCGAGCTGTCGGCGCGCGGGCGGCCTGGCGCGACGCTCCGGTAAGGCATGCGTGCGGCGGGACGGGAGCAGAGGCGCCCCCTTCAGGCACCCGGCGGGGCCGAGACGGCGCTCGGCGACACCTAGCTTCGCGTCTTGCGCGTGGGGCGTTCGCCCGCCCCGGCCACGGCGGGCCTTTTTCCAGAAACCGGTTTTGTTTGTTTACCGTCTAAATTCGCGTCGGTTTTTATTTCTCTTCCTGCCTAGATCTGGAGACGGGTTGGAAGGTAGTGTGTGTGGATGCGCATAGCGCCAGGCACTGCGCAAAGGGCTTTGCTGATGCTTTTCAAGTCTCGCAGCCTTCCGATGCTGAGGGAGTTTGGGGGTCTCGGTGCAGCTCGTTAGAAAGAGCCTGTTGGGAACTTGGACTGGTATTTTGAACGGCTCAGGTTCCGTTTTTCCTTCCTATTACCCTTTGCATCAGTAAGCATTCGCTTCCTTCTTCCTCGCTTCCTGCGCTCTTTTACGTTTCGATGCAGGTGTATGAATAGATAATTAGAGTACGTAAACTGTTTTTAAGAAGTTAATACAAACCAGAGGTGATTAAATGCCCACAAAACCCCCATAGACCCATAGTTTGGACTTTAAATTTCATGGAATTAAATTTAGGTTGACGTGTAATCTGGATGGCGGTACTTAAAGCTTAGTATTTGATGCAGTTTGCGCTAAGTTTGGAAAAGCATATAAAGTAGCATACTTGATTCAGTACTTGATTTCTGCACTGGTATGTAATTGTTAAAAAAGTGACGTTTGCAGTTAACACCAGTTCCATCATAATGCTGTTATTTTAGGTTGACTGTGGGCCTCTTAAAAGAGCTCATTAATATTTTGGGATTAAGTATGTAGAAAGCACTTGGCACCTAACCAACACTGGGTAATCATTAACTGATAATTATTATAATGATGGGTATTTGCAAAGTGTCATACCAGAGGAAGGCAAAGTCTTTATGGTTTCTGGGGTTTGTGAGTTTTTTTTTTTTTTATGCTGCCCTTATTGTGAAGTACTTAACTTTTTGTTTTTATAGATACATTTCACCTTTAGAAAGAGCTTCACAGTGAAAATAGATTCACTTGTTTTATTCATATAACTGATTTTATGGGGGGAAAGTGCACAAATTACAAATGTTTTCCAGTATAAATGTCATTGTTTTTAATCTTATCTACCTATCTCTTAAACTAGTGACAAAATAGCCATGATTTCATTACTGAAGTTGGTTTCGAGTATTTTGGAAAAAAACAAATTTTTGTTTGTTGAAGGGAACTAGAGAATTAATTTGGAAGATGAAATCACTGCATTTGGAAGATGAAATGACTACTTTCAGTGCTGAGGGTGGGGCAGAAAGGCAAATCAGAAGGCACTGGTACAGTGCTGATAACCAGAACTGATAGTGCTGAGAGCCAAATTTACAAGAAGCTCTACAGATCCTTTGCATTAAAAGAAGGCGCCGGGGTGGCAAATTGGGTTAAATGTGGACTTCAGCTCAGGACATGAGCTCACGGTTTATGAGCTCAGCCCCAAGTCAGCTCTGTGCTGACAGTGCAGAGCCTGCTTGGAATTTTCTCTCTCTCTCTCTCTCCCTCTCCCTCCTTTCCTCTCTCCCTCTCTCTCCCTTCCTCTCCCTCCCTCCCCCCCTCTGCTCCTTCCTCACTTGTGCACAAGCTGTTTCTCCCCCCTTCTCAAAATAAATAAACAAACTTTAAAAAAGGGGAGGATGGTGCCCATCAGGGGAATCACCAAAATGCTGATGTGAGTGTATTCCATATTCCGCCCTTTCTCCCTCCCTGGCAAATAGGAGAATCACTAGAGTATATGCTCCTCTTGCTTTTTCCTGAAGCAGGGCCAGGGCCAGGGAGTACAATAGCAGAATGTATTGAAATTGTGGACTTTGGTGTCAGTTTTGCATTTAAGTCACCACTCTACCACCTATTCTCTGTGTGGCTTTGGAAAAATTAGGAGATGAGGGTACATTGGTGACAAGGTAAACATGAGGTCTGTTTCTTGGTAAATGTCTTGAGTCTCATTCCACCAGGACAAACCAAAGTAGATAGATAATGAGAATATTTTCACTTTGTCAAAGAGTATCAGATTTTAAGTGCAGTGGAACGTAAGTTGCCAGTCACTTTGCCTGACATCACAGCCCAAAACTCCAGTATACATAACACACTGTTGTCACTTGCAGACAGTAACAGTTTTCTTTGTTTTCAGACCGTAGCTGTGTCAGCGTGTTATGATGCCGTCTCGTACCAACCTGACTACTGGAATCCCCAGTAGTAAAGTGAAGTACTCAAGACTCTCCAGCACAGACGATGGCTACATTGACCTTCAGGTAAATGCAGAAGGGAGCTGATCAGACAAGCTGGCTTGGTTTCTGTTGAGTTAGCAGGAAGGCCTTCCAGGTGGAGGTTTTGCTCTAATCCCCTCCCCGCTGGGGATTAGAAGGAGCAGCAAGAAGAAAACTAAGCTCTGAGACCCTTTCAGCCTTAATTTATAGAAGGAGGGACCTTGGTAGAGCAGTTTCAAACCAAATAAATATTGTTCATTTCTAAGAATTTTTAGTTGTGACACATGACACCAGAGCCCAGTAGTTGCAAAATTTTATCTAGTTTATCTGGAAAATACTCAGATTGTGTTTTGTTAAGTAGAGTCTTTTTAAGGACTGTTGTCATTGGTTTGTTTAGTCAAAGCCAGTTCATCTTTTAAGGGAGAAACTAACTGCTAAAGCCAGCAGATTGTGGGAATCTTCCTTCTTTCCTGATGTCATGAGATCCAATTTATTAAAGGTATTCTTTGTGGCAAACAGTAAGTAAAACAGAATATTTATTAAGTTTGTATTCTACCCTGATGGTTGGTTTTAAAACACCTAATGGTGTAGCGTCTTCTTTTGCCTGCTTCCCCTTAGAATACCTGAGGTGGAAGCAGGGCCAAGGAGGAAGTAGCAGGATCCCATCTCTTCAAATATAAACAAATCAATTATTCTTTGCGCTCTTTGGACCCATACTTGAAGGAGAGAGGTTGTTTTTTTTTTTAAGTATACATCTGGGAAGCTTCCAGCCAGTTCGGTCAGATGAAGCAAACCTTAGAAAGCTTGTCTCTGATCTTAACTTTGAATCAAACTTATTAAATACAAGCCAGGTTACTTCATGAGGCAGGTAACAAATGTTTGAGATAAAGCTATTTTTAAAACCTTTTGACTATATGCTGTCTTAACTTTGAATGCCAGAAATCACTTGGGTTTTTTTTTTTTTTTTTTTTTAACACTTCTCCAGAGCATGATGTTCACTCTCAAATCCCTGTAGATTAGTACAGCCTTCCATGTGCCAGGCACCTAACAAACCTATGTCTAATCAGTGAATGACCATAAAGCATCTTCTGTTTTTGTAAGAAAATATTTTCTTACAGTACAGTGAATGCTCTGTGGAATGAGATTAGAAGTAGAAAGAGTAACATTTTGCTGGGACCCCTTTGAGTGACTGTTAGAACAATAAGGAGTGCTTCACCTCCTGCTTGTCCCTTTCCTTTCTCTCCCAGTGCTGTCCTGAGTCATAGGACTCCCTTCAAGACACAGGAAACATCCAGATTGATTCTTACTATCTTCCCTGCTTCAAAGTGTCTGAGTCCTGGTGTTTTCATAATGGTCTGCCTTTTGTGTTTCTCTTCCAGTTTAAGAAGAGCCCTCCTAAGATCCCGTATAAGGCCATTGCACTTGCTACAGTGCTGTTTTTGATTGGCGCTTTTCTCATTATCATAGGCTCCCTCCTGCTGGCGGGCTATATCAGCAAAGGGGTAAGCGGAAGTGTTTATGGGAATGTGCCGTGAGATCTTGAAAGTGTGAGCCTGGGTGCTGTTGTTCTCTATTCATATCTAGTGTAGCAGATTCTAGCAGTAAGAAGAAAAGTATTTTCTTTTAGATTTTGTTCTCTGATAACAAACCACATGTTTCTTTTTCTGAGCAACAACAAACTTGTCCCACAGTTTCTATGAGATGGATGGGGGCAGGCAGGCAAATTTTTCCTCTGAGATGTTGGGAAGTTTTTCCTCTGCCCTAATGGAAGAGCAAAGCCAAGCCTAGCATTGAGGACTCCTGATTGATCAAGGCTGTAACTGGAGTAGAATGTGTTCTTATAATTTTGCAGTGCCACAGACAGACATACTTTTCAGGGTCTGGGGAGAAGCAGTGAGGCTTGTATAGTTCTGGGGCCACTGGCCAACCCAGGACTTGTGGCTCATGAGTCTGATCCTTCTTACATTGGGTTTGGTTGGAATTCTTTTTAAGATTCAGTGTTTTATCTTCAAAACCTAAAGTGATATTTGGTGGTTCTTTCTCTCAGGCTACAAACAAACACTAATACAGAGTGTCCAGGTTGTTCTGAATTGATAGTGCTCATAAGTTATGTCTGCTTTTTTTTTTTAAGGTTTTATTTATTTATTTTGAGAGAGCATGTGTGCTAGTGGGGGAGGGGCAGAGAGTGAGGCAGAGAGAGAATTCCAAGCAGGCTCTGCATGCTCAGTACATAGCCCGATGTGGGGCTTGAACTAAAAAACCCCTGATCTGAGCCTAAACCAAGAGTCAGGTGCCCCAAGTTATGTCTGTTCTTCAACACACACCAGGCCAGAAGGTTGAGGGTCCTATTGCTCTGCAGACGGAATACAGCCAAGAGCTGAAACAGTGGGCATTATGGAAATTAGGAATAGCATGTTGCAGTAAAATGGCTGCATATGGCTTTTTCTTTTTTCTTTTTTTTCTTTGAGTAAGAGCAAGTGGGAGGGACAGAATGGGGGTGAGAGAATCTTAAGCAGGCTCCACACTCAGCACAGAGTCTGATTCGGGACTTGATCCCATGAGCCTGGGATCATGTGGCTTTTGAAAAATGTATCTGGGGGGCTCTTGGGGGGTTCAGTAGGTTGGGCGTCCGACTTCAGCTCAGGTCATGATCTCACAGTCTGTGGTTTCGAGCCCCGCATCAGGCTCTGTGCTGACAGCTCAGAGCCTGGAGCTGGCTTTGGATTCTATGTCTCCCCCTCTCTCTGCCCCTTCCATGCTCAGCTCAGTCTCTCTCTGTCTCTCAATAATAAACAAACTTCAAAAAAAAAATTTTTTTTTTTTTTTTTTTTAAGTGTATCTGTGGTGCCTGGGTGGCTCAGTTGGTTAAACATCTGACTTTGATTTCAGCTCAGGTCATGATCTCATGATTTGTGAGATCAAGCCCTAAATCAGGGTCTGCACTGAGCATGGAGCCTGCTTAAGATTCTCTCCCCCACCTTGCTCCCCTGGCCCTTCTCCCTTGCTTATGTGCTCACTCACTCTCTCTTTAAAATTAAAGAAAAGAAAAATAAGTATCTGATTTGCATTTGGTTCTTACTGTATTTAAAATTGTTATATGGCCACCAGATACTTACTTGGTGCAATCTGTGTTTGAACACTTAACTTCAAGACTGCCTTCAGTCAACTTTCATTGCAACATGCAATATTAATCCCAGAGGGACTCTGTTAATTATAAAATTTGAGATTGGAGGTGAGATCCACATGCAGCAAGTATCATTTTATCTTGTGGGGTTATTTATTAATTTGTTTGTTTCTTTATTTGCTGTGTGTGGTTTTTAAAAGACTGCTTTATAAATAAGGGTAAAGTTGGGTTTGGTTTCTTTTTAAGTTTATTCATTTATTTTGAGAGAGAGCGAGCGAGCAAGTAGGGAAGGAGCAGATAGAGAGGAAGAGAGAGAATCCCAAGCAGTCTCCACACAGTGCAGTCTTTTTTTTTTTTTTTTNCGCTGTCTCTCTCTCTCTCTCTCCTAGAAATAAAACATTAAAAAAAAATTTAAAAAAAAAAAAAGAAATTCTCAAGCCCCCCAGAATATTCAGGCTGAGTGTGAGCCCAATATAAATGGACAGCTATTGCTATAATTATTATTTTATAATAAAAAACCTCTCCTCTTTCTGATATTTGAAAACTGCATTGGTACAAGCGAGATAATTCTTCAGTTACCTGAAGAATTTTCTTCTATTACACAGGAAGAATTATAAATAAACATTTCTTTAAATAGTAACTGTTAAAAATTGTCAAACAAATACAGACTTTATCTGCATTTTATCTTGCCCTTCATATCTCCTTTCTATTCTTAGTTTAGCGAATGTTCTCAGATAGCTAAGCCTTACTCAGTTTAATGAGGCAACATGCAAAATGGAATTAAGAGTGCACTCTGCACCTACCAAGATGAAATAAAACAGGGTTAATGTAAAAAAAAAAAGTGTACTCTGCAGAATTGTCGAACTTCTTTTTTTTTTTAAATATTTTATTTATTTCTAGGAGAGAGAGAGAGAGCGCGTGAGCAGGGGAGGGTCAGAGAGAGAGGGAGTCACAGACTGAAACAGGCTCCAGGCTCTGAGCTGGCAGTCAGCACAGAGCCCGACGCGGGGCTCGAACCCACGAGCAGCGAGATCATGACCCAAGCGAAAGTCGGACGCCCAACCGACTAAGCCACCCAGGCGCCCCACACAGTGCAGAGTCTTGAACTCAGGAACACAAGATCACGACCCGAGCTGAGGTCAGAATGCTTAACTGACTGAGGCACCCAGAAGCCCTAGGATAAAGATGTTAATTAAGAAAATCACTAATAGGTTTTGTTTCGGTTTGGGGTTTTTTTGTTTCATATACTCCCCCAACATTTTCTTCCTGTGTATGAAACACAGTACCAGGTTTACGTTTTACTAGTATTCTTTTTTAATGAATTTTGAGAGAGAGGGGGACACAGAGAAACCCAAGCAGGCTCTGCACTGTCTGCACAGAGCCCAACGTGGGGCTTCATCTCATGAATCATGAGATCATGACCTGAGCCAGAATCAAGAGTTGGACACTTAACTGACTGAGCCACCCAGGCACCCCACATTTTGCTGGTATTCCTAAGTGTGCATCTTCAGTATACACCTTGTAACAGCTTTTACATAAATCTAAGGGGGCTATCTTATTACCTTTGACTTGGTTCTTTTTCATATTTTTGTTAGGTTTTGGGGCTTGTGTAGATTCAGGTTTAGTTTTGTTTTAGAAAGAATTATTTTGAAAGGAGGTGCTGTGTATTTTCTATGGCAGATTGGTTCTGAAGCTCCAGTGTTAATCAGAATCACCTGGCAGACTTGTTAACACACTGATTCGTCAGTTCCATACCCAGAGATTGCACTTCTGTAGGTGGGTTGTCAGAATCTGCATTTCTAAAAGGTTCCCAGGTAATGCTGGAGTCCATTGACCTCATTTTGAGAACGATTGCATTACATTAGGAAGCACATAATGGTCATCTTGATTTTTAGTTGATACTAAGATAAGTTGTTGGGTTTGAATGTCTTCAGCCTAATTTATTTACTATAAACTTCTCCATTACCTTCTGTATTAATGAATCCAGTTCTGTCATTTTCTGCATTTATCAGCTAAAATTTTACCATAAAGAACTTTTCAAATTTACCATCTGAGTACCTCAGAACATAACGTATATAGTGAAGGTAGGAAGAATGTTTCACAACTTTTATAAAAATATACCTAGCAACCTCAGTAGGTGACCAGAATTGGTTAGTATCATTGTAAACTCATGTTTTTTACATATTTGTTTCAGTCCTAGTCCATATTCTTTTTAATATCTAAACTGTCCCGTATTTGGTTAGTAGGATCTCTTCGTGTTACTCTTGTGTATTTTAAACCGGACCCAGGTAGCCTTTGATAGCTTTCGTGCTTTCCAGCACAGCAGGTTATCCTCGGCCCCTTGCCTATCCCCCAACTTGTAAACAGCCATTTCTCTGAAGAGCCCTGGTTTCTTATTATAGGAGGTAGGTTGAGAGAGATCACAAACATTAAGGTAGTCATGCTTTGGTTTTCATAATTTCTGGCCTTTTCAGTGACAAAGTAGGAAATAGATAATCTTTAAAAAAATTTTTTTTTAATATTTATTTTTGAGATAGAGAAACAGTGCAAATGGGGGGAGGGGCAGAGAGAGTGGGAGACAGAATCTGAGGCAGGCTCCATACGCTGAGCTGCCAGCACTGAGCCCACTGCGGCTTGAACTCTCAAACTCAGGTTGTAACCTGAGCTGAAGTCGGACACTTAACTCACTGAGCCACCCAGGCCCCCCAATATCTTTTTTTCATGTTAATTTATATTTGAGAGAGAGAGAGAGAGCCTGAGTGCAGTGGGAAACGGGCAGAGAGAGGGAGACTGAGGATCCCAAGCAGACTCCACACTGACAGCAGAGAGCCCGATATGGGGCTCAAGCTCACAAACTGCAAGACCATGACTGGAGCCGCAGTCAGATGCTTGACTGACTGAGCCGCCCAGGCACCCCAGGAAATAGATACTTATAGACAACAATTTCCAATGCAAATTGAAGATTAGAGTTTGAAGTTAATTTCTTTGATTTTTATATGTGCATGTGTATCATTATCGTAGTGGTATCTTGCCTTACTTGTCTTACTGTATGTTATACATATGATAACTTTAAAATAAGTGAATGTTAGTGCTAAGTATAAAAAGGCTGAATGCACTGTAAGTTTTCTTTCCAATTCTTTTAATCCTTAGGATATGTTTTATTAGGGATGTACAGTCAGTATCCTGCAAAAGATAAAAGAAGCAGGAAAGTAGAAAATCTAAAATAAGAAAACAAGGGGCGCCTGGGTGGCTTAGTCGGTTAAGCGTCCGACTTTCGCTTAGGTCATGATCTCACGGTTCGTGGGTTCGAGCCCCGCTTCGGGCTCTGTGCTGACTGCCAGCTCAGAGCCTGGAGCCTGTTTCAGTCTGTGACTCCCTCTCTCTCTGACCCTCCCCTGCTCACGCTGTCTCTCTCTCTCTCCTAGAAATAAATAAAAACGTTAAAAAATAAAATAAAATAAGAAAACAAAAATAGTACCAGGTATGTCAATTGTGACATAGATTTTATTGTTTTTGATGTTTGCATAGTCCCATCTCTGGCCAGAGAGAGCCCCTTCAGGTTCTCTTTTCTTGTTTTGTTTTTTTTTTCCTGGGTTTTAAGCTTTAGCTTATTGAGTCATGTGTGCCAGCTGAGGCTACTTGCTTTCTATGTATTACCTCATTTAGTTTTTACTGTGACCTTATGAGGCAAATACTCCTGTTGCTGTTTTTGAATGAAGCAGCCAAAATTATATTGGGTAGATAACCTATCAGTGTACATTGTATAAGTAGCCCTGTTTAAATGACGTTTTTAGATTGGGGTTAAATCTTTAGATGAGGGAAAGCCTAAAAATAATGGGAAAAATCACAAAGGAAAAGGAGGATAGGTTTAACTATATAAACATTTAAAACTAGGGGCGCCTGGGTGGCTTAGTCCATTAAGTGTCCAACTTTGGCTCAGGTCATGATCTCACGGTTCGTGGGTTCGAGCCCTGTGTCAGGCTCTGTGCTGACAGCTAGCTCAGAGCCTGGAGCCTGCTTTGGATTCTGTGTCTCCCTCTTTCTCTGACCCTCCCCTGCTCAGACGGTCTCTCTCTCTTTGTCTCTCTCAGAAATAAATAAAACATTAAAAAAATTAAAACTATATGTAAAGACAAGACAGAGCAATTTTATAAGGGTGGGTTCATTCAATACATTTATATGTTGGGTGCAACTGGGGATACAGGGATGAACAAAGTCCCTGCCCTCATGGAACTCCCCCAAATATTTGAAGCCCTGCTGATAAAGAGACTCAACATCATTCCCTCTTTTTTTTTTTTTTTTAATGTTTATTTTTGAGAGACAGAGAGAAAGCATGAGCAGGGGAGGGACAGAGAGAGAGGGAGACACAGAATCAAAAGCAGGCTCCAGGCTCTGAGCTGTCAGCACAGAGCCTGATGCGGGCCTCGAACTAACAAACCGTGAGATCATGACCCGCGCTGAAGTCGGATGCTTAACCGACTGAGCCACCCAGGCGCCCCTCATTCCTTCCTTTATAACCTGTGGATTGTGCTCATGGGAATATATACTAAAGAAATAATATGAAAAAATCCAAATGAAGTTTATTGTTGTATTCTGTACAGTTGCAAATAAGTGAAAGACAACCAAAGTATCCAGCAGTTGGCTGTGTGTGGGGGGAGGGAGTGTAGTTGAGTAAAATTGTGGTATGTCCATTACAGTGGAATGATAGACACCATTAGCTGACATATGATGTATTAGTTTCAGGTGTACGACATGATTCAATATATGTATACATTGGGAAATCATCGTCACCACACATAGTTACAATTTTTTGTGTGATACGAACTTTCAAATTCTACTGTCTCAGCAACTTTCTAACATACAACACAATATTATCAATTATGGCCATGTGTTGTACCTTGCACCTCCAGAAGTTACTTATTTTGTAACTGGTAGTTTGTACCTTCTGATGTCTTCACCCATTTTGCATATCTCCCAATGAAGAGCTTTTCATAATATTTTGGCAGTTGTTTGTTAAAATAGGGCACAGGGTACGGTGTGTTTACAACTAAAAACTAGAATGGAGAAACTGAAGGAAATAAGCGAAATATTTATAGATGAAAATGGACAATTTCTTTATAATTTTTAGTGCCTTGCAGTTTTTCTACATCTTATAAGAAGGAAGAGAGATGTAAACCTGTTTCCTTTGGTATATTTGGGTATTCTACCCAAAGGAAATACTCTGAAGAGTGTAAAATACGGATATATGGATTGAACCCATGGCTTTATTTAAAATTTATGATTTGTATGGTATTAATGTGTTTGCCTCCTTCTGCCGCCAGGGGGCAGACCGGGCCGTTCCTGTCCTGATCATTGGCATCCTGGTGTTCCTGCCAGGATTCTACCACCTGCGCATCGCCTACTATGCATCCAAAGGCTACCGGGGTTACTCCTACGATGACATTCCAGATTTTGATGACTAGCGCCTACCCTCAGCCCTGAAGAGAAGTGTCACAGATGGGACTGAGACCAGCTTTAAGATACTGAGCAGAAACTGTGGCTAAGGGCTAAGGAATTCTGCAACTTGCAGACGTTAAACAAAAGAATGGCCAGATTTTATGGGTCCATCCTCAGGATGTCAACTGAGCTTATAATACCAGTTAACTAATTAGGACATGCTCTGTTTTTCATCTGGCCCTGGCTGACAAGGTTTTCCACACGAATATGTATCTTGGAAGAGTAGCAGTGTGAATGGTGTGGGAAGGCAGGAGGTTTTCTATAGTGGGAAGTGTTACTGCTACCACCCTTTTTAGCTTTCAGCATTTCTTTCAAATCATCTTCATTGTCAGTTCTCGTGGCAAATGGAATAATTCAAGATCTTAAATTTCACGTTACTAGTAATTTACTAGTAAGATACATTTAGGTATCTTACTTCTACTCTCGTCTCTAACTTTCTGTTCTAGTGGAAGACCTTGGCAAAATCAAGTGTCAGTGTGGGTGCAGTTTTACTTGATTTCTTAACAAAAGCCAGGACGTTTTAAAATCTCAGAGCAGGTTTCCAAAAGCTAAACACTTTCTCTGTTCACGAATCCTTGGTCACCTCTGATTTGGTCTACCAGTAAGCTGGCCAGGATATAATTTGAGTCATTCTGTTCTTTGTAGATCAAAGAGCCATGTATACCATGCCTTTAAGGACTGGACTTTTGGCTGTTTCCTAAGGAAAAGGTTTAGATAAGTGGTTATTATTTAGAGATTATAAGCCTGTTGTTAGCACCTTGTATTATGATGTCATTCTGCTGAAGATCCCGAGACTCAGCCTGGATCCCTAGAAGACTATAGGCTGTCTTAGTTTCTGTTTCCTAGCTTGCAGAAAGTGACCTACTCAAATTAAAATGGCAAAATCAAAATCCTAGACTTAAAACGTGTTAATTTTAAGTGTGTTTTAGAAAACATTTTAATGATTGTATGCCCTCTTTTTTTTGTTTGTTTCAGGAGTAAAATTTAGTGACTCATCACTTATATATAATAACCAGTGCTCATGCCAACAAGTACCCTCCTTAATGCCCATCACCCATTTACCGCATGCACCCCACCTCCCCTCCAGCAGCCCTCAGTTTGTTCTCTATAATTAAGAGTCTCTTATGGTTTGTCTCCCTCTCTTTTTATCTTATTTTTCTTTCCCTTTCCCTATGTTCATCCGCTTGGTTTCTTAAATTCCACATATGAGTGATATCATATGATGTTTGCTTTTCTATGACTGATTTTGCTTAGCCTAATACACTTATATATATACTGATCCCAGTACCTAGGGCCACCTTCATTTTTAGATAACTGGCATTGTGGGTCGGACTGCTTCTTAGATGTCCTTTTACCATAAGCTTATGGACATGGGTGACTAGCAGCTTGGTAGTGCCATCAACTGAGATTTGGAGAGCTGTGCATGGAACAAGTTTGTTGGGGAAGATGAATTCAGTTTTGGATGTGTTAAATTTTACATGAATACTCTACATCCACATGGAACTGTTGAGTAGGCAATTGCAAAGCATGGATCTGGAGTTCAGGAGGGAGTCTAGGCCAGAGACAGAAATTAGGTAGTTGCTGTTGGGACAGTATCTAAAAGCTGGGTGATACTATCCACAGAGTGAAGTGCACATGGGAAAAAAATTTAAAAACTAGGACACAGAAAATGAGAGACAAAGTGGGGGTGGCCTGAAGCAGCCTCCAAAGTTAGATGCGTTTGGTAATAGGAGAGGAGGCTTGGGAGCCCGGTACTCTAATTGAAGCTCCTGGGCCTTGACACTGGAGACTTTGAGATCTATTACACTTTACCTGGGGAATTGTTTGCAAAACAAAGCTCAGACCAGAAGGTTTTGGGCAAACCAAATTATTTGGTCCTTTTAATAAGGGTAATGATACTGCTAGTAAGGGGAAAACAGTCAAAATGGAACAGAAGGGTACAAAATGAGAAGCATTTTATGGTAGAAGGTAAATATTTGTTCCCCAGACTCTGTCTCTAAGGTAGTCTAATGAAGTTTCTTCTATACCCTTCCAGAAGTGTTCTAAGCACATGAACATACATATCCTTTTTAAAACTCAGGTTCCCATTGTATAAGTCTATAATTTCCTTTTTTCTTCCCACTTAATTTATTTGGCAGATATTTCCATATCCATGGAGATCAGTCATGCTCTCTTAAAAAATCTACACTAGGGTGTATCCACACCTGGGTGGCTCATTCGGTTCATCTCCGACTTCGGCTCAGGTCATGATCTCACAGTTCATGAGATCAAGCCCCAAGTCTGTGCTGGTAGCACAGAGCCTGTTTAGGATTCTCTCCCTTTCCTCACTTGTGCTCACTTAGTGTGCTCGCTCTCTCAAAGTTAAAAAAGAAAACATCTAAACCTTCATAATGTGAATGTTTCTTGAGCACTTTGCCAGATGTTGTGAACCACTTTTTATTACATACTCTGTTTCATTTTAATCCTTGGGAAAAACACTGTTGGACAATATTCTTAGGTAATAGGTTGGACGTTTGGTTTTCAAATGAAGGCAAAGCCTGAATTCTCCTGACCAAGTATGGAAGCCAAATAGATGCCTTTAAGGCCTGGACAAGTAAAGAAGTGGGGTATGGGGGGTTGGGCAGAGCTATAAGGCAGTAGCAGTGAGGACCAAGGTCACGTGTCTCATGTATACTTTATCTAAAAGCAGCCTTCCTCTCCCCGCTTACAGTGTCTGCCAAGCCACGTTCTCTGGCTTTATAAGGATTTTCTTATCTGCAACAACTGTTAGGCCTCTCTCTTTGGTCATTTCTGAGGCTAAAAATCCCGGTCGCATCAGCTGTTCTACGTCTAACGGAGGTTCAGGCCCATTGCCTCTGGATGAGCTTCAACTGGTCCCTGTGGCAGACACATATTGACTGCAGCCATTCTGCCAGGGCTGGTTAGGTGCTGAGGCAGAGGAGCGGAGGTTGCAAACTAGTCGCCACACGTGTTGGCCTGCATTTTGTTTTCAAAAATGAGAAGGTTCACATGATCTTGGTTTGGGGCTCTTCTTGAAAAATCAATAGATGGGGGCGCCTGGGTGGTTCAGTCGGTTAAGCGCTCGACTTTGGCTCAGGTCATGATCTCATGGTTCATGGGTTCGAGCCCCGCGTCGGGCTCTGTGCTGACAGCCAGCTCAGAGCCTGGAGCCTGTTTCAGATTCTGTGTCTCCCTCTCTCTCTGACCCTCCCCTCCTCACTGTCTCTCTCTCAGAAATAAAAAAAAGAAAAGAAAAATCAATAGATATTCTTCCTTATGAGAGGTTACAACCAACTGGAGCGAGGTAGGAAAGCAGCCTCACCTGAGCGGCATTCTCCAGTTCACCGAAGTCCCCACCGTTGCCTGGTTACCTTCATACCCACCCTGCTAATTTTTTTCATTGAGGGCAGAGAGTGTCTTAGGGTCCCACAAAGTCTAGCACAGTGTTTGTGGGCACTTTTGTTTATTAAATGGAGAACCAGCATTGAGAGCGCATTTCCACACCAGGATGCTAAGTGCTGTTCCTCCGAGGTGTGGACAGTTGGGCTGGTATCGTTTGACTCACGTTCCTAAGTGACCCTCCCATCAGCTGCCTGACATGCCAGCTACTCTTCAGGCAGATTGGGTGCCGCCTGGTGAGTCCAGTCTCCGCCTGGCACCCTCCACTCAGGCCACTGAGCCCAGTTCCCGGGTACTCCGTAAGTTCCCTCCGGGGTCGTGCTGTGTCCGCTGCCAGCTGGCACAGAAGAGCCTCCTGCTACTGGTGCGGTGAGGAAAGCTGGGAGGGCGATGGTGAAAGTTCTGGCTTTCTGCTGACCTTCACAGTGTCCTAAACTAGACTCCCCTTAGTTGTCTTGTGTCCTCTAGAACTAGCCTGGCCTCACTAGTTCAGTTGTGGTTTAATGCCAAGGGTCGGAGAGGTCGACTGAGTCCTGTTAGCTATGAGCTATTGGGCAAATGACGTCTCAGGAAACTGAGGGCCTCAGTTTCCTCATATAGTGGGGGGTAAACCAAGTCCTACCTCCTGGGGTAGTTATGGCAGTTAGGTTAATGTGGGAGAAGGCTTCATCCGGAGCCTGATAACATAGTAAGCACTCAGTAAATGGAAGCTGCGGTCTGAGAAAGTGATGACAATCATTTGGCATCAGGGCGTAGTGCCTGGGGTGAGGCTTGGGAGGGGAGAGAACCCATCTGTATCCCTGGGGCCAACGTGAAGAATATTCTGTTCCATGGTCGAACTGCCCTGGCATTGCGGCCAGAGCTAGTATGGTGGTTGGCTCCAGCTGAGGCCAGAATCAGGTTTGAAAAGGTCTCTGGACCCTGGCCCTTCTCCAGCCTGCAGCTGGGAAGCTGTGTGCTCCAGTCCTGTGGAATGAGAGGGGAAGGGAAAGGACCAAAGCACCACACTGCAGCCAACACGTGGGGCACAGAGGCCCTGCCCGGGAAGGCCCTGCAGAGAGGGCCCTGGAGACCAGAGACGGTGCAGCTGTAGCACCACCAGACCACGTCACCCTGGAGCTTGGCGTTCCCCCACCTTTCCTCCGGTGGTCGCCAGCTTCACCTCTTTCTCCACTCTTCCTCCTCAGTCTCGCCCCTTGCTATTCAAAGTGTGGCCTGTGGACCAGGAGTTAGAAATGCAGAATCTGGGGGCGCCTGGGTGGCTCAGTCGATTAAGCCTCCTATTTCAGCTCAGGTCATGATCTCACATTCGTGGGTTCGAGCCCCGCATCAGGCGCTGTGCTGACAGCCCAGAGCCTGGAGCCTGCTTCGGATTCTGTGTCTCCCTCTCTCTCTGCTCCTCCCCCTCTCATGCTCTGTCTCAAAAAGAAATGCAGAATCTTGAGCCTGCCCCAGCCCTGTCAAATCCAAACCTGCATTTAAACAAGACCTCTAGAAGGCGTGCTGCGTGTCAGTGCCCGAGAAGCAGTAGTTTGGGGCTCCCTGTGCCTCCTAATCCATTTCCTCCCTTTGGGGCTAGACCTCCTCTAGCAGTACCAATGGCTGAGGGTGGGGGCACCTGGAAATTAGAGCTCATTAATCCATCGTTACTCTCCCGCCAAAACAGTAACTCCCAGTGTCTTGAGGAGGCTTCGTAGAAATGGCATGGACGCAGCACAGGAAGGCTCTGTGAAGATGTTTGTGTGAGCAGTGTGAAATCAAATTGGAAGTCCCACAGATGGGGAAGGGCCATGGCAATGGAAGCACGTTCTAATGTTCTGGAGGCCAGGGAGGGGGGCTGTGTCATTTAGGAGCCAATGAGAGGCAGGATCTGTTTTCTGGCAATTTAAATGGAAGCCAGACCTGGTGGCTCAGTTTACCCTGAACACTGGAGGTGCTGGGTTTCCTCCCTGGCTGGGTGGGTCTCCATTGCCTCCATTCTTTCCTCCCTCTCACTAACTGGAGAAAAGCCAACTAGAAAATGCTCCAGTCCTGGCTGAAGTGCTAATCCTTTAAGAGGGTTTTCTCTAGGATTAATATCCACAGTTTACGCTGACACCACCACCTTCAGGACCAGTGTCCCCCTACAACTGAAAAGGTGGCAACAGTGGCATCACCAATGCTGCTAGCAGGGTTTGTGGCCTGGCAGAGCTGAGGAGATGACTGGCACCCGGCAAGAGTTGTAACCATGAGGAGCTGGGGCTGAGTCACATCTCTGGATATGGCTGCAGGCTCCTGACCCTGGAGCCGTGATCTGAACATTTTAAGACTTAAGAACCTATTGACAGGGTACTGGGTGAGAGTTCCAAGTTTCCCCTTCTTGGAGATGTCAGAATAATGCCAAGTATTTCCCCATTTAATGGTGGAGGGCAACCACAGTGAGACCGAAAGGGCACAGAATAATGCCGGCCCAAGATAAAGGACACCTGCTCATTCTGAACATTGACTCAAGATGGTCTTCCTCTG